GGGGATGATATGCATTTGTGGGGTAGGATTTGCTTGAGAGATGGTATACTGATTGAGAGATGGAATACGATTGACAGATGGGATTGTAATGCTGGGATACAATTGTAGGGGGTGAGATACAATTGTAGGGGGTGAGATACGATTGTAGGGGTGAGATACGATTGTAGGGGGTGAGATACAGTTGTAGGGGTGAGATAGGATTGTAGGGGTGAGAAACGGTTGTAGGGGTGAGATATGATTGTAGGGGTGAGATACGATTTTGTGGGAATGACAAACCAGTTGTGGGGTGGGATGCAATTGCGAGCTGGGGTAGGATCGAGGTGATAGGAGACAAATGATGGATATCATATGAATCAGGGTTAATGAAATGAGACAAAAATTGATATGATATTTGAAGATAATTAGGTGAATTGTGACTGAAGAGTCGGCATATCTTACTGAAACTCCATCCTTGTTCATCCAGGGTGTTATTTCTCCATCCTACTGTTAAAAGTACCCTGGAACCTTTTGCTAACACAGCTTTGACTTCGGAACAGTTTGAATAGCTAAAAAAATACATTGCCATCCAATCAAATTGCTCTCATGAATGTTAACTTAACTTCCAAGATGAAGTTAGGGCAGCAAATGAGTCCAGGCTATTTGTTTGTTTGTTTGTTGTTAAACGCCGCATTCAGCAGTACGCCCGCTATGTGACGGCAGTCGGTAAATATTCGAGTCTGGACCAGACAACCCAGTGACTGAAATCATGAGCATCAATCCATGCAATTGGGATATTTTGACATGCATCAACCAAGTCAGCGAACCTGACCACCCGATCCTGTTAGTTGACAAACATAGTCCCCTTTTACGGCAAGCATGGGTTGCTGAAGTCCTGTTCTACCCCGGATCTTGACGGGTACCAGGCTATTTGTGATAAATGAATGGAGATGTATTACCGTAGATTATCAAGGATGGAGAAACTTGTGTGTGTTGTTTAGGTCGACTACATGGGATAGATAGAGTGTCACGTTAATCGATTATATTCAATGATGTGGATACAATATTATAGATAAATTGCAAGTGACCTCATGGCATTTGATCGGCTGAAATATTTTAAAAAATCCCTAAATAATTAGGCCACACCCACTAATGGTCTGCAGTTTCCTGTTAGCTGATATAGAATTATATTGGTGGGACTTGTGTTGCACTATTGCCTTTAAATTTGTTTGTGTTGATGATGAAAAAAGCAGCCTTTTATTATTGTTGACATTTATTTAAAAGAATTGACTTCGATATGTTTTACACTGGTTTTTACGTTACTAACTCCTTAAATGCAAAAACATATTGAAGTCAATTCTTAAATACATATAATGGATTTGCTGTTGTACAATTATGACAGAATGAAATTTGTTAGAATGTTTTCAAACGATGACTACAGGTTTGTATGACTACCTGTTATTCACATATCGGGGCGGTCGGGTAGCCAAGTGGTCAAAGCGTTCGCTCCTCACACCGAAGACCCAGGTTTGATTCCCGTCATGGGTACAATGTGTGAAGCCCATTTTTGGTGTCCCCTGCCGTGATATTGCTGGAATATTGCTAAAGGCGGTGTAAAACCATACTCACTCACTCATTGACATATCACCAATATCCTGACCCTGACCTTTAAGTTATGAATGATTTTAGAAGACCATGTGTGTGCATGACATTGATGGACAATAAACTATGTGCTTGTTTCTGTTGTGTGGACTTATGTGTCAAGGAGGTCTGCCCCAGTGTCTCCTGGGAGGACTTATGTGTCAAGGAGGTCTACTCCAGTGTCTGCTGGGTGGACTTATGTGTCAAGGAGGTCTACCTCAGTGTCTGCTGGGAGGACTTATGTGTCAAGGAGGTCTACTCCAGTGTCTGCTGGGTGGACTTGTGTCAAGGAGGTCTACTCCAGTGTCTGCTAGGTGGACTTGTGTGTCAAGGAGGTCTACTCCAGTGTCTGCTGGGTGGACTTATGTGTCAAGGAGGTCTACTCCAGTGTCTGCTGGGTGGACTTGTGTGTCAAGGAGGTCTACTCCAGTGTCTGCTGGGTGGACTTGTGTGTCAAGGAGGTCTACTCCAGTGTCTGCTGGGTGAACTTGTGTGTCAAGGGGGTCTACTCCAGTGTCTGCTGGGTGGACTTGTGTCAAGGAGGTCTACTCCAGTGTCTGCTAGGTGGACTTGTGTGTCAAGGAGGTCTACTCCAGTGTCTGCTGGGTGGACTTGTGTGTCAAGGAGGTCTACTCCAGTGTCTGCTGGGTGGACTTGTGTGTCAAGAAGGTCTACTCCAGTGTCTCCTGGGTGGACTTATGTTGAGGAGGTCTACTCCAGTGTCTGCTGGGTGGACTTATGCGTGAAGAAGGTCTACTCCAGTGTCTGCTGGGTGGACTTGTGTGTCAAGGAGGTCTACTCCAGTGTCTGCTGGGTGGACTTGTGTGTCAAGGAGGTCTACTCCAGTGTCTGCTGGGTGGACTTGTGTCGAGGAGGTCTACTCCAGTGTCTGCTGGGTGGACTTGTGTCAAGGAGGTCTACTCCAGTGTCTGCTAGGATGACTTATGTGTCAAGGAGGTCTACTCCAGTGTCTCCTGGGTGGACTTGTGTCAAGGAGGTCTACTCCAGTGTCTGCTGGGTGGACTTGTGTCAAGGAGGTCTACCCCAGTGTCTGCTAGGATGACTTATGTGTCAAGGAGGTCTACCACAGTGTCTGCTGGGTGGACTTATGTGTCAAGGAGGTCTACCCCAGTGTCTGCTAGGATGACTTATGTGTCAAGGAGGTTCCTTGTCATGGACTTGTGTGTTAAGGACATCACATGATCCTGTCATGGACTTGTGTGTTAAGGACATCACGTGGTCCTGTCATGAACTTGTGTGTTAAGGACATCACGTGTTCCTGTCATGAACTTGTGTGTTAAGGACATCACGTGTTCCTGTCATTAACTTGTGTGTTAAGGACGTCACGTGGTCCTGTCATGAACTTGTGTGTTAAGGACATCACGTGTTCCTGTCATGAACTTGTGTGTTAAGGGCGTCACATGTTCCTGTCATGGACTTTAGGACGTCACCAAGTGCAGGTCCTTTCCAAAGGCCCATTGTCTTCCACAGCTGGTTACTAAGCCTGAGGGGACACGGGTGGCCCAGTCGTCTAAGGCGCCGCGATTCGCTGTGCAGAGTTGCGTCCCTTGGGCACCCCAGAAATCTATGGTTCGCCCCGATTATGTTTCTAGGTTTGTCAGCACCATACCCGTGCTTGTGGAACTCCCCGAAGTGGTAAACATCTGAGACCTGCATCACTGCGGGCTTTCCTCCCACATTAAGCTGACACGCCCCGATATAACAGGAATACTGTTAAAAGCGGTGTTAAACTCACTCACTACTAAGCCTGACCCTGTGGGGATTCCGGGTTAATATAGTTCCCTGCAAACTCATACAAGTTTTAAGAGGCGACCAAATGAGAAAATGTTGTTTGATAAAAGTCACAACAATTAAGTCCTCAGTAAAACGTTTAATTGTATACATGTGGATGTCATTTGATCAAAATGACGATCAATATTTCGGCTTGGAACATATGTTTCTATGAAGAACACTTGACTTGCATTTGCATGTGTTAATGACGGTGGCCACAGATGGGACAGATACAGCCACTGTTTCACGAACACTTGGTATCATCATTCATCTGCTTCTGATATGGAAACCGCGAGCTCTGGCTTAGCAAAGATATTTTGTGGTGATTGAAATGGTTTTTTGTGGCTCTTATTTCAAATTATCAAAACGTATTCAATATCATATTCATCTGGTTGTTCACGTCGTGACAAGAGTCTATGAAACGACAGGTCCCGGTTTTTGTGTTACAGTAAACTACGGTTATAACGAACACGCTTATAACCAACTGACGGATATAACGAACTTACTTTTTAGTCCCGACTATTTGCTGTAATTATGCTGTATATATCCTTATAACGAACTACGGTTATAACGAACTAAAAATAATAGTCCTTTCGAGTTCGTTATAACCGTAGTTTACTGTATTTCAGTCTAACAGAAATAATTATACATCTGGGGGTTTCACGTTTTGAAAGCTATGCGGCCATACTGTGCATACATACACTCTTCAAAAAAGGAAACGCACAGATAGTATGTAGTTCAGTGAACCTGACAACACAAAAAATCATGTATATAAATTGGATATATGTTATTGGAAAATGTTGGTGGCCTGATATTCGACAAACGGTTCGTCAAAACGCAGCCATTGTCGATTTGCAATATCTTGAACGGCATTGTTTTTACACTTGTTCAAAAATGTCATGGAGGAAAACAGTAAAGCAAAATGCACGTGCAAGTAATGGCTTTCGTAACTCGTGGTAGTGGCTTTTAAAAGGCAAGCATAAATTGTCAACCTTTTTCAGGTTTGAAAATGCGGAGACTCAGCGCTGCCGATCGGAACATCGCCATAGGATGTGTCCAAAGTAGTCTTCTGTTGCACGCCACTTCAACGTCCACCACAGCACCATTTGCCGCCTTTGGGACCGATACACACAGTTCAAAATCCACTGCAGACCATCTGAGAACCGGCCGACCAAGAGATACCACCCCTGCACAGGATCGCTACATTCGACTGTTCCACCTACATCATCACAATGCCACAGCTACGGAGACTGCATCCCTGGTTTGAGGAGGATATCGGACCAGACTGTCAGGAACCATTTTCGTGAGGCTGGAATCCGACAAGAAGACCAGTTATCGTCCCTTTTTAGCAACAGATCCATCGACAGCCACGCTTGCGTTGGTGCCATACCTGACAGTCTTGGAATTTGGCAGTTTCGGACTTTTATAGTCAGTTAGCTCACTTGCCTCGGGAAGATGCAATTATGGTCTCTGATGGAACCAAAGCTACCAAGATCTCCAAAATTACCATTAAAGCAGAATATGTGCCTCAGAATGACCCTGATTGTACGATTCAAAATAAGACTTTTCATCCCGTGTCTTATTCATGATCTACAATTATTTCTCCGACTATCGGATTTTACTTTTGAAGCAAAAGCTCATATTAAAAAAAAAACAGGTTAATTTTCCTGTGTTTTAAAGAACCCCTCTGTACAATGGAAAACATCCACTAAAGATTCCTAACGTCTGCTGTCGTCGTACGTTCTATTCTGAGATTATCTTATGTTACACCTGTCGAGTTCTCGTGTGAATGTCACCAGCTGCCACAAGCAATTTACAACACAAAGCACATTTACATGGTAACGTCTAACGGGGTAATTTGGTAGGTTTTGAAAGAGTTACTTCCCCTGGAAGTGCAGAGCTCAGATTTGACACAGGGAGCTCGACGTTCAAACAAAATGCTGCGTAATGCATTTAGTTGTACGAGATATGTCAAACCGCATATCAAAAACATATCCAAGACACAGCTCTTGACACAGTTTGAAAGAAATCCATGGTGCAGATTCTACAATGGGAGCCATGGAACTTCTCGCGACAATCTCCGCATCAATCCATCGAAGCAGCGAGTCTTGGGCAGGTGCGCGTTTGTTATCTTGGGGACGTGTATGGGGGTCAAGATGTGGCTGGTCAGCGCGGGGTGCGAGGAGGCGACACACCAAGACGCTGCACAGACTGATTACAGGGAGGACACATCTCAAACGCTGGAAGTAGCAATCGCCAAATCGAGGGATATTCTTCAAAGGGTCAAGGTGCGCGCATGAACCAAGTGATATTTTTACAATCTAGGATAAAAATCCTCGTTATAACGCTGTAACTATTTATTTTCATTGCTATCTTATTCTTAGGCAAAATGCGACAGCAAAGCAAATATTCTTACAAATATTTCATTGATGATGATATATGGATTTACTTTTGTACATGTTGTATATATTTAATTACACTCGTGAAGATCCAGGTAGAGAATAGATCTTCAATAACCCATGTTTGCAGTAAAAGGTGACCATGCTTTGTGGTAAGATTGGTGGTCAGGCTCGCTGAATTTGGTTGATACATGTCATCATATCCCAATTGTGTGGATCTATGCTCATGATGTCAATCACTGGATTGTCTGGTACAGACTTCATTATGTACAGACCGCAATCATATAGCTGGAATATTGCTGAGAGCGGCGTTAAACAACAAAGAAACAACATCACTTTGGGCTTTCCTCCCACATTAAGCTGACACGCTGTGATGTAACTGGATTACTGGTTTAGGCGGCGTTAAACCCAATTCACTCACTCACTTACCAAGGCCGTTGTATGAATCCCATGTATCAAGCGAGTGTTGATCACGTTCCATGTAAGGCGACTATGCTTGTCATTAGAGGTGACTAATGGGATTGGGTGGTCAGGCTCGCTGACTTGGATGATGTGTGTCATCGTATCCCAATTACTAGATTGATGCTCATGATGTTAATCACTGGATTGTCTGGTCCAGACTCGATTATTTACAGACCGACGTCATATAGCTGGAATACTGCTGAGTGTGGCGTTATACAACAAACTAACAAACAAAGCAAAACGTGTTCAATTCATTCCAGGACGAGACTGGCAGTCCGGGCCTTGTAGTGGGGGTGAGCGTGGATGGGAAGCACGTCTGGAGCCAGGGTGAGTCAACTGAGCCGAATCACTGCAGCCTGGAAAGATACTACTCAAAAGTAGTTCCAGTACCCCGATTTTTCAGATGACCAAAGTCAACCTGTCATTAGCTTTATATGTGTAAATAAAATAATGACTGAATGTGTCCAATTAAATCTAAACAATAAACATAATAAACATGCGTCCTTGATACGTCATTGTATTACGACTCGATTCTATTTGGATAAATTCCCGACATGGGTACAATGTGTGAAGCCCATTTCTGGTGTCCCCCACCGTGATATTGCTGGAATATTGCTAAAAGCGGCGTAAAACCAAACTCACTCACTCACTATTTGGATAAACATGCTGGACTCATTTGCTACAATAGCTTTGTTTTGTGCCTCAAGAGGTGAGGTGAAATGTGGCAACTCTTAAAATTACCAGTCCCCCCTAATTTTTGCCAGTTCCAACTTTCAACAAATAAAAAAATGTCTGAAAATTATTTGGTTTTAATTCTTTCAACATCATGTTCAGTGCAAAGATGTCATCTCTGAAGTAACTTAGTTAGATCTTTAGGTCATTCACACAAACTTCAATCACAATTTTCTCTCTTTTTTTAAATATTTCGATACGAAGTCGCTACAAATGGATATTTAACCTAGAAATAGACAAGGGGAAATCCTGATGGTAACAGACAAGCTGACATTGTTCGAATAATGTACTCATATGAATATCACCAATGTTTTGTTCAACAACAAATATTTATAAGGTACTTTATTTGCTGGTCCACATGGACTGGCAGTCACATGAATTACCGGTCCAAGCCTAATTTTACCGGTAAAAAACTGGTAATTACCGGTAAACGGGAATGCTGACTTAAATAGCAATTTGTGTGTGTGGCTGCTTGTTCTTGTCCGGATTGATGCCAAGTTTTTAGTGCTAGCCCACTGAGATACCATTTTATCATGAATACCCAACTCAGACACAGTTTACTGACTCTAAATCAACCAGTCCTTGTTTTAGCCCTTAAGGTCAGGCATCTTTTGACGTCTTTTGGTATGACGTGGCCGGGGATCAAACCCCGGACCTTCCGCTTTCCAGGCAGACACTCTACCACTAGACCACGGAGGCGGTCTACTGCACTAAGAACATCCATCCAATCAAATTGCTCTCACGAGCGAGAGACTTTTGGCGTTACGTTAGCGTTATGAGCAATGGAGTTGATGATGTCACTTCTGAAATAAAGCCATGGTGGTGAAAGGGTCACGCATATTTGTCACAATAGAATGGAGAAATGTGATACACTGGCTCACTGAGGATAAGTACAGGGAGTTTTCCAGCTATATGACGGCGGTCTGTAAATAATTGAGTCTGGACCAGACAATCCAGTGATTGATATCATGAGCATCGATCCACGCAATTTGGATCGATGACATGCATCAACCAAGTCAGTGAGCCTGACCACCCGATCCCGTCAGTCGCCTTTTACGACAAACAATTTGCCTTTCATGGCAGGCATGGGTTGCTGAAGACCTGTTCTACCCCGGAATCTTCACGGGTCAATAGTCATTGTATGTACAGTGCAAGAGCAGGTATGGGTGGCTGTTACTGCATCAATCAATCATGACCACTGTCCTCATGACTTTATTTATTCCAGGCTCTAAAGTAGTTAGGGGACAGTCATCTAAAGTGCCGTGATTTGCTGTGCAGAGTTGCGTCCCTTGGCATGCCAGAAACCTATGATTGTGGGTTCGAATCCCGATTCGCCCCGATTATGTTTCTAGGTTTGTCAGCACCATACCCATACTTGTGGGTTTCACCGAAGTGGTAAACGTCTGAGACCTGCATCACTTCGGGCTTTCCTCCCACATTAAGCTGACACGCCGCGATATAACTGGAATACTGTTTAAAAACTGGAATACTGTTTAAAGAGGCGCTTAACCCAACCCAAGGCCCCTCTTCTTTGTTGGCCTGTTTTCAATGAAATACAAGTCACAACATTAGTTATAACTGTTAACATGAATGTAATAGCGATCAGCTGCACCGAAGAGCTATGCTTAGGGTTATTATTATTTTAGATATATTTAGTAAAAGCTGCAACTAAAATAACAAGATATTGGAATATATTATTCCTGATATAAAAAAAAGTTTCCGGTATAATTTTCCCGATCCTTCCATCATAATCTTTTAAAGTTTTATCATTGGGTAAGTTTTAACCGAATCACCGTTAGGAAAAAAAGTAGGTTGATGTTTGTGTGTTCTGTGGCAGGGTTTGGCTACATGGACGTAGAGAACCGTCTCCCCTGTACCCCCGACACGGTCATGAGGATAGCCAGCATCAGCAAGCCCATCACCATGGCGATTGCTGGCAAAATGAAGGAGATGGGGATTCTGGATCTTGATAGGCCGGTACAGGATTACGTCCCACACTTTCCGGACAAGTCGGTGGATGGACGGAAGGTAAATTTCTCAGTGAGCCAAAACAACCCATGAAGACCCGGGTTAGAAAAGGTCTTCCTCAACCCATACTTGCCGTAAAAGGCGAGTTTGCTTGTCGTAAGAGGCTACTAACGGAATCGGGTGGTCAGGCTCGCTGACTGGGTTGATGCATGTCATGGTATCCCTATTGCGTGTATCAATGCTCATGATGCCAATCACTGGATTGTGTGGTCCAGGCTTGATTATTTAGAGATGGCCGTCATATAGCTTGAATATTGCTGAGTGAGGAGTTAAACAACAAACAAACAAAACTGTTATAGCCCTCTTGTAGATTGGAATATTGCTGATAACACTCATGGACTGTCATGTGATTGTTTCAGGTTACCATAACAACAAGACAGCTGCTCTCTCATCTGGGAGGAATCAGGCATTATGGAAAGGAATACATGAAGGTCAGGGACACCCAACAACTCACTCACTCATCCATCCATGCCCCCTCACTCACCCATCCATGCCCACTCACTCACCCATCAATGCCCATTCACTCATCCATCCATGCCCACTCACTCACCCGTCAATGCCCACTCACTCACCCATCCATGTCCACTCACTCACCCGTCAATGCCCACTCAATAATCCATCCAGGCCCACTCACTGGCCCATCCATGTTTACTCACTCACCCGTCAATGCCAACTCACTCATCGATCCATGTCCACTCACTCACCCATCCATGTCCACTCACTCACCCATCCATGCCCAATCACTCACGCATCCATGTCTACTCACTCACCCGACAATGCCCACTCACTCACCCGTCAATGCCAACTCACTCACCGATCCATGTCCACTCACTCACCCATCCATGTCCACTCACTCACCCATCAATGCCCACTCACTCACCCGTCAATGCCCACTTAATAACCCATCCATGCCCACTCACTCACCCATCCATGCCCACTCACTCACCCGTCAATGCCCACTTAATAACCCATCCATGCCCACTCACTCACCCATCCATGCCCACTCACTCACCCATCCATGCCCACTCACTCACCCGTCAATGCCCACTCAATAACCCATCCATGCCCAATCACTCACCCATCCATGCCCACTCACTCACCTGTCAATGCCCACTCAATAATCCATCCATGTCTACTCACTCACCCATCCATTCCCACTCACTCACCCATCCATGCCCACTCACTCACCCTTCCACGCCCACTCGCTCACCTATCCATCCCCATTCACTCACCAATTCTAGCCCACTCTTTGGGCTATACCCACTCACTCTCTCACTCACTCACCCACTCAATGGATCACACAGTCAACATGATCCACATATCACGCATTTCACCCACCACTAACACCCACCTGGCCACACCCACCCAACCACCTGCATGGACACGCCCATTCACTCACTCGCCCCCTCACTCACTCACACACTCGAACACACCCTCGTGGCCACACCCAACCAACCACCTGCATGGATACGCCCACTTACCCACTCGCCCACTCACACACTCGAACACACCCTCCCAATCACCCACCTGGCCACACCCAACCAAACACCGAAATGGACACGCCCACTTATCCACTCGTCCACTCACACACTCCCAATCACCCTCAATCACCCTCGTGGCCACACCCAACCAAACACCGAAATGGACACGCCCACTTATCCACTCGTCCACTCACACACTCGAACACACCCTCCCAATCACCCAACTGGCCACACCCAACCAAACACCGAAATGGACACGCCCACTTATCCACTCGTCCACTCACACACTCCCAATCACCCTCAATCACCCTCGTGGCCACACCCAACCAAACACCGAAATGGACACGCCCACTTATCCACTCGTCCACTCACACACTCGAACACACCCTCCCAATCACCCAACTGGCCACACCCAACCAAACACCGAAATGGACACGCCCACTTATCCACTCGTCCACTCAAACTCGAACACACCCTTCCAATCACCCAACTGGCCACACCCAACCAAACACCGAAATGGACACGCCCACTTATCCACTCGTCCACTCAAACTCGAACACATCCTCCCAATCACCTGCCTGAACACTAAAACCAAACCACTTGATCCATCCCATCACTCCCCAACATTCAAGACAAACCACTCACTCACCCACTCACCCGACCACACCCATCAATTCATCCACAAAACCTACCACATCCACCTGACCACACCACCTGACCACACCCACCTGACCACACCCACCTGACCACACCCATCTGACCAAACCCAACGGACCATACCCACCTGTCCACACCCACCTGACCACACCCATCTGACCACACCCACCTGACCACACCCATCCTATCAATTACTGAGAATGTTTATTGGCATGTGTCAGGGCAAGGACGACAAGACGTCGATTATGACAGCATCCCTTGGGAAGGAGACGGCCGAGATGGAGCACCTGGAATATTACCTGAAGAAACAGTTCAAGTCTGTCAACGCCAGTCTGGAGCTGTTCAAGGACGACCCACTCGTCCACAAACCAGGTTGGATTCCACTCCCCAGGACCCATGATGGCCTGGGGTAGAATAGGTCTTCAGCAAACCATGCTTGCCTTGACAGGCGATTATGCTTGTCGTAGGAGACGACTAAGGGTATCGCGTGGTCAGGCTTGCTGACTTGGTTGATGCATGTCATCGTATCCAAATTGCATAGATCGATGCTCGTGATGTCAATTACTGGATTGTCTGGTCCAGACTTGATTATTTACATACCGCAGTCATATAGCTGGAATATTGCTGAGTGTGGTGTTAAACAACAAACAAACAACTCCCCAGTACTGAGAGTTTGAATTCCATTTTACCAAAGTTATGATTCTTTGTTATTAAAATTAGTTATACAATCAAGGTTATAACGTTCAAGGCCTCAGTAAAGCTTTCTAAAAGTTTTCTGGTAGACATGTGGAGGACATTTCCGAATTTGACGCATCAGTGTTAAAAAATTATATCCGTTAATATTTTATTTTTTATTTTTTCGTGTGACCATTTGACCGGCCGTTGCATGTGTTTGTTGCCGGTGCCCCTGGTGGGGCAGGATATGAACACCTGGTATCATCACTATTTGATAGTGATTCTTAAACACATGATCATGACATAGTCTGAATCGTCCATTTGACTGCTTTTGGCAGAGATTTCTTATGAATAGGGAAAGTTTTTTGTCTCTCTTATTCACCAGTTTGGTTGTAACACGTGACCTTAATATGTCCCAATGGAATTCTACTGCCTCTTTGGTCTTCTAAACAGAGTGTCTAGGGGTTGAGGGTTTGAGCCGTGTCTTACCAAAACCGTTAGAAGATGATACTTGTTGTTACCCATTAGTGGGCTTGCAGTGTGAAACTGGGTTTAATCTAGAAACACATGCATACACTACACCATGGTACACCATACCTTGCCATGCTGAGCCACACCACGCCATGGCACGCCATGTCACACCATGCCACACCACACATCACCCGCCACACCACATCACGCCATGCCATGCCACACCCACCACGCCATGGCGTGCCATGTCACACCATGCCACACCACACATCACCCGCCACACCACACATCACCCGCCACACCACATCACGCCATGCCATACCACACCCACAACACCATGGCATGCCACAACACACCATGCCCACCACACCACGCCGCGCCACACCAACCACGCCATGGCACGCCATGCCACAATCGCTACACCCGCTGCGCCATGCCATGCAATGTCATGCCATGCCCAGCCACACATCACCACACCAAACCTACCACCCCGCCACGCCACACCGAAACGCCTGCCATGCCACACCCACCACACCATGGCATGCCACGACACACCATGCCACGCCCCACATCACCTGCCACACCACATCACGCCATGCCATGCCACACCCACAACACCATGGCATGCCACAACACACCATGCCCACCACACCACGCCGCGCCACACCAACCCCGCCATGGCACGCCATGCCACAATCGCTACACCCGCTGCGCCATGCCATGCAATGTCATGCCATGCCACACCACACATCACCACACCAAACCTACCACCCCGCCACGCCACACCCACCATGCTACTCAACACCACACCGCACACCACACACCGCACACGCACACAACACATAATATGCATGCACGCCACTATATCATTGCAATAATTTTGAAAAAAACCTCATTTCACCTTCCTGCACAGCACATTTCATTCAAACTTTGTTGTGAAATCAATAATTTATTCAAGTAACCATGGTACTTGCCCAAAACTTTTGGAGACAAAGCCTCCACCCACACCCAGTGCAAAAATGAGCACGCGGCGGCCCACCTAGGATTTACTAGGCCTTTTGATTAATGGCACTTGGCAAGCAAAAACCCTAAAGCAAAAAGAAAAAAATCAACTGTTTTAAACTGAAATTCAGAGGTATTTTAGATTTACATTTAATGCAATAAATGGAAAACTAAGATAGTGCTGGAATATTGATGAATGTGGCGTTAAACAACAAACAAACATACAAACATTATTCAAGACATTTTCCATAGCCATGGAGAAAGCCAAGATAAACCCCTGTTTTGCGCTGAAACCAAACTCACTGACCCTGAAATGTGTTTCTGTAGGTAGCAAGTTCCTGTACACCACGCACGGCTACACTCTGGTCAGCGCCGTCCTGGAAGGAGCAAGTAACAAGACCTTCAAGGAGCTGATGCTAGGGCTGTTCAAAGACCTTGGACTGAAGCATACATATTTGGATGAAAATACTCCCCTAATCTATAATAGGTCAAGGTTAGTTTTGTTATTGAAGGTCAAGGTCATAACTCAGGATTTGTAATTTTAGCCTGACACATCCGTATTTTGGTGAAAATACTCCAGTTATCAATAGGTCAAGGATAGTTTTGTTGGTGATGGTCAAGGTCATATCTCAGGATTTGTAATTTTAGCCTGACACATACATATTTTGGTGAAAATATTCCAGTTATCAATAGGTCAAGGATAGTTTTGTTAAAAAAGGTCAAGGTCATATATCAAGTTTTGTAATTATAGCCTGATGCGATAATTTTTGTCATTGAACAATATATCATGTGACTAACCACGGATCCGGGTAGTCCTGTGGGTACCCGGTTCCTACTCAGTACCAAACCGACCCCGGTACCCGAGTTACCCATCCCATCCCTAGTATTCAGGATTCTAAACTAAGTGCCCTTGGCATGCAAACTGGGAAGAAATCATTTTGTTCAAAATTGGGAAAGTTTTTATTTTTCTAAATTCTGAGGTATTTTTAAGCTTCTTCCTCTGTTGGTCATATGATCAGTGATTTACAAGTCAGATCTACAGAGTCATAACATTGGGTATACTAAACTGACGTCCAAAAGAAACTTTACAAGAGTTTGAAATCACTCTTGCTAAAAAAACAACAAAAAATACATGCATGAAGTAAAGTGAATTGAGAAGATCAATATATCAACATAATCAACACTGAAAATGACAATCATATCACGACCGAGAATGACGTCAGAGCCCCCCAAAGTTGGGTGTGGTACAAAACTCGAGCTTTCAGAATCATGGACAAAAGGCAGAGTACATAAACAATCGCTCACGTTCAATAACAAGTCATTAGTAGCGTGTGTGACCACCAAATGCCTCAATACACGCAAAATCTCTTCGACACACAGAAAAAGTCAGTCGTCTGATGAGGTCACGTGGGATTTGACGCCATTCTTCTTGGAGGGCCAAGATCAGTTCTTGCCGGTTGGCTGGAGAGTGTGGTCGTTGTCGAACACGACGATCCATCAAGTCCCAGAGGTGTTCTATGGGGGACATGTCGGGTGAGCGTGCAGGCCACGGCAGGACGTTGACGTTGGCTGCGAGGAAGTTAGTGACAATTCTGGCTGTATGACCAGCGGTGTCCTCTCCTGCCCACGGATCCCTCCCCACACCATGACACTCCCTCCACCATATGGTATGACCTCCTGCACCCAACACGCCGCCGTTCGTTCACCCCTTCGGCGGTAAAGACGTTGTCTTCCATCAGCCCTAAACATACAGAATCGACTTTCGTCAGTGAAGACAACCCTCTGCCAGTCACGTTGTTGCCAATGTCGTACAGTCCGGGCCCATCTCAATCGCAGACGACGATGTTGCTCTGTCAATAGCTGTCCTCTGTATGGTCTAAAAGCCTTGATTCCATGAGCCCTGAATCTCCAGGCCACTGTCTGTCGACTAACCCTGTGACCTAAGGCATTTGTCGCCGATGACGTCACTGTCAGGAAGCGATTTCGGAGGTGCAAGGTATGCAAGTACCGCTCATCATGGGGCGTGGTCACCCTGGGTCTGCCTGTTCTTGGCCTGTCAGCGGTCCGCCCTGTCTGTCTGTTACGTTGCATCAAGTTGGTAACAGCAACACAGAAGCAACCGAAGGTTCGTGCAATATGGGCATGGGTGGCTCCCATCTGTACCATACTCAAGGCTCGTTCACATTGTTCGACTGTGAGTCGAGGCATTTCTTTTGTGTTTTTTTATCGCTGTGGATGGCTGACTTGCTGTTGCAATCGTTTTATACCCTTACCCGCTAGTGCATTTGCAGTTGTCCGTGGTGCACGTGTTTTTCACTTTTTCGCGTTTTATCTCGCAAACATGTAACAGATGATTAACATTTTTCTGCATACACTATTGTTGTATTTAGGTTATGTGTTTTAGATAGACTTCATCGGAAAAAAAATTATACTTTGTCTGAAATTTATATTTTCAGTTGGTAAAGTTTCTTTTGGACGTCAGTTTATGTTAACATGAAAAACGTTTAATCCCTGTTTGGGAATTTTTACTGACATTTGCAGCAGACTTGGGGCTGAATATCAGCCTCTGAGCAGGTCTTGCTAAACTCCGGGGAATTGATAACTGGTTTGCTCTAATTATGTTTATATATTTGCCAACACCTCAGATATCAAACTGTGCCGTAAAAGTAAAACTGTTCAAAGCAGTGTGAGTGACAGAGTGAGTATGGTTTTACGCCGCTTTTAGCAATATTCCAGCAATATCACGGCGGGGGACACCAGAAATGGGCTTCACACATTGTATCCATGTTGGGAATCGAACCCGTGTCTTCGGCGTGACGATCGAACACTTTAACCACTAGGCTACCCGACCGCCCCCAAAGCAGTGAAAATCCAAACTAGCATAATGGACTGATAATCTCTTTTGGCAGGTATTACTTGAAGAACGGCAAAGGTCGCCTGATCAATGCCCCTTATGTTGACAACTCGTACAAGTGGGCTGGGGGCGGGCTCCTCTCTACCGTGGCCGACCTGTGCAAGTTCGGCAACATCATGCTGTACAGTTATCAACACCAGGAGCCCGAGAAGTCACCGGGTCCGGAGGCGGGTACTAAAACTGAACCTGACTCGGATACGTCAAAAAATCGGAAGCAAAATGAAGCCAGTGAGTTGAGATATTTGAAAGGCTATCTGAAGCGTGAGACTGTGAAGGAAATGTGGCGTCCTGCGGAGAACACCGAGTGCTCGTGGGACAGAGATGGAGGGTATGCACTCGGCTGGGCCGTCGTCCCCGAGAAGCTGGACCACGGATGCTGCAGACACCAGAGGCACTACGTGGGTCATACAGGGGGCGCTATTGGAGCCAGTAGTGCCTTGGTGGTGTTGCCTCGATCAGGGGGGGACAATCCACCCTCAGGGGTTGTCGTGGCAATCATGGTCAACATGATTTCGATAGGTCTGAACAAGACGGCACTTTCAATTGCAGAAGAGTTTGAAAAGGTGGAGAAACAAAAGACGTAACGGAAGATGTAACTTTGTGTGAATCAGGGGAGGTAATCAGTCAAAATAGATATCCTTCTTGTGAATCAGGGGAGGTAATCAGTCAAAATAGATATCCTTCTTGTGAATCAGGGGAGGTAATCAGTCAAAATAGATATCCTTCTTGTGATTCAGGGGAGGTAATCAGTCAAAATATATGCAACTTGTGTGAATCAGGGGAGGTAATCAGTCAAGATATATACACTTTGTGTGATTCAGGGGAGGTAATCAGTCAAGATATATACACTTTATGGCAAGCTCCTCACAGCGATAGCCCGTTCGCGGAGCTCTCTATACTATCGCTGCCACCAGTCAAAACTCCCCACTGTGAATAGGTGGCCACAACCATGCTTGGAGTTGAACTCGCAACCGAATGACCGTTATGTTTACAAACAAGCGACGACTGTCGTGACGCCGAATACACTTATCGCTGCTAAATTATTTTCTTCGTTTGTCAATTTGAATTTCTGTTTCATTAAAACTATCGTGTTATTGATATAGTAAGAATGTAAGGGAGAAGTTGGTTGATTTTCCGTTAGTCTGCAATCTCGAACCAATCTGATTATTAAAATAACAAAGTAAATTCATCTGGAAAACATGGTCAGTCGTACACCTTTTGAAAATGAAATATGATGGCATTCCCAAAGACATAAACAAAAGTATCAACGTTACTACATTTGGGGTTAGAGGGCAAATTTCAAGATTCTTGTAATGGCCGCGCCCACACTGGTGGCAGCGATGTTACCGAGAGTGTAACGAAGGTGTCACGCGCTGGGAAGGAGCTTGACTTTATGGGTTTCAGGGGAGGTAATCAGTGAAAAGACAAAAACTTTGTGTGAATCAACTGAAAAGCCTAGCTCAAGATATTACAGTAAACACCTGGAATGATTATATTATATGTTCATGATGTTTTTTAACTGTTGGTACTTGTATTATCTGTGGGACAGTTATATTGCTGCAATTGTTAAAGCTGTTGTTATGCAGTCTTGATATCAAAGAATGTTCTGTTGATTGCATATAGGGTGTATTGAACATGTCACAACATATTTAGTCATACCATATGCCATGTTTTGTGTCATGTCCTTCAATGTAGACCTGTGAAGATCCGGGATAGAATAGGTCTTCACCAACCCTTGCTTGCTGTATGAGGTAATTATGCTTAGTGTAAGAGGTGCCTAACGGTGTCGGGTGGTCAGGCTTGCCGATTTGGTTGATGGATGTCATCAATCCCAATTGTGTGGATCGATGCTCATGATATTAATCACTGGATTGTCTGGTCCAGACTCGATTATTTACAGACAGCTGTCATATAGCTGGAATATTGCCGAGTGCGTTAAACAACCAACCAACAGCCTGAGTAAATGCACATAGTTCAGATTCAACTTGTCACGTTGATTATATGCATTGAATAAGACTTCCTCCACAGCTGAGTGAGGGGAGGTGAGGTGAGGTGAGGTGAAACTGGGTTTAACGACACGTCCAAGATTATTGCAGTTTAATAGCGACATGCATGCTCGTGTATGTGAGTGTGTCACTGCTTGTACTTGTCCGGACTGATGCCGTTTTATAGCTCACTGAGACAGCCGTTAATGCCGAGCGCCCAGACAAAGTAGACACAACTTCTTTAATTCTGTAAAGGCGACGTTTCTGGATAGATGCTTATAGATCCTCAAGCAAGACAGAATACATACAGTAGGTTTAGGATTCACAGTAGAGGATTAACAGTAACAACAATTGCATTCATGGTATCTGAATGGGCCAGGACTATAAATCGGCATTAGTCCGTACTGGTACAAGCAGTCACACACACATGTGCATGCAAGTGTAATAATCTTGGAGTCGACATAAAACCCTATTTCACCTCACCTCGGCATACTGTGTATGTGATGTCATACTGTCTCTATTGTGATGTCATACTGTCTATATTGTGATGTCATACTGTCTTTATTGGGATGTCATACTGTTTCTATTGAGAGAAATACTGTCCATATTGTGACATAATTTTTATCCTGTAATGTTTTACATTGTATATTTTGGATTATGATGAATAGTGTTATGTCAACAGTGTACATTTAACACCAAGAAGAAAGACTGTGATGTCATACAGTGTATATTGTGATGTCTAACAGTGTATATTGTGATGTCTAACAGTGTATATTGTGATGTCTAACAGTGTATATTGTGATGTCATACAGTGTATAACAGTGTATATTGTGATGTCATACACTGAAACTAGTCCAGAATTTATGTACTGCTTCTGTAAAACTAGTCCAGAATTTATGTGCTGCTACAGTAAAACTAGTCCAGAATTGATGTACTGCTAAGGTAAAACTAGTCCAGAATTGATGTACTGCTACAGTAAAACTAGTCCAGAATTGATGTACTGCTAAGGTAAAACTAGTCCAGATTTGATGTACTACTACAGTAAAACTACTCCAGAATTGATGTACTGCTACAACAAAACTAGTCCAGAATTGATGTACTACTACAGTAAAACTACTCCAGAATTGATGTACTGCTACAACAAAACTAGTCCAGATTTGATGTACTACTACAGTAAAACTACTCCAGAATTGATGTACTACTACAGTAAAACTACTCCAGAATTGATGTACTGCTACAGTAAAACTAGTCCAGAAGTGATGTGCTGCTACAGTAAGACTATTCCAGACAGATACATTCCCTACCACTTCAAATGACATTTCCTTAGCTTGTCCCAGGGACAGTTACCTAATGGTAAGTATTGGATTGTTTATGTTAAAGTGATATTCTTTATTGTGACCTCAATTCCACCTGGATCCACTATGCATATGTTTAAACATTTATTAGCACTACCTCCTAACATCATGCATTTGCCTAATAATTAAATATTTATGTGGCCACTTTATTTATATGTTTGTTTGTTGTTTGACGCCTCACTCAGCAATATTCCAGCTATATGAGGGAGGTCTGTAAATAATAGGGTCTGGACCAGACAATCCAGTGATTGATATCATGAGCATCAATCGACGCAATTTGGATACCATGATATGCATAAACCAAGTCAGCGAGCATGACCACCTGATCCTGTTAGTCGCCTCTTACGACAAGCATATTCGCCTGTCAAGGCAAGCATGGGTTGCTAAAGACCTGTTCTAACTTATATAACATTATACAGAATGTGTCTGTCGTTTATGACGGTGTTAATTCAGCACCAATATGAAACTGGTTTGAAAAACAGCCACTGCTGAGTGTTGTCAGATTTTATTATCCATTAACAACTGCAAATTTCGGTTCTCATTTTTTACCGGACACGTAAAAAAAAATACTATGGGGCAATTTTATTTATTGGACAGCTTTATGTTTTATAAGAGAACACAATACCGCCATACATAATTTCGAAACAAGTGGATATGTATGCTTGTGCATAACGTTACACATTCGTTGTGTAACAGTTTGCAGTACATGGCGCAAATCGATTGTCCTCCATGCCTTGTGAAGGTGACAGAGAGGTGTACAAACGCGCACACACATTGCAAGGGCCATAACTCCGCTATGCTTAGTGGTGTCTCCGCCATTGGAACTCGGTGTCCATGTGAGAATTTGCTTCGGATCGCGACAATGCTTAAACTGTAATATATCACAAATATTATTGTAATACCTGTAGATGTCCATGGTTTACACAATCGCCTGATTGTGCAAGTGTAATAGACTCTGGTTGCCCCTATTATTAATAGCATACTGGACTGAACACTGAATGGGATTAATTACGGAAAAGTGACACTCTTTTGCTACACGCCATTGCGTGTGTTCGAAGGCTTCTGTGAATCAGAATTTGAAGTTTCTTCGACACTAAATTAAATTAAAGTTTTTAAAAGTAATAATGCATGCCTGACTCACATCATGTGATGAGGTTGACTAGTGGTTAAAGTGTTCGCTCGTCACGCCGAAGACCCGGGTTCGATTCTCCACTTGAGAGTGTGTGACGCCTTTTTTGGGGTGGTTTGTTGGTTTGTTGTTGAACGCCGCACTCCGCAATATACAAGCTATATGACGGCGGTCTGTAAATAATCGAGTCTGGACCAGACAATCCATCATGAACATTAATCTACGCAATTGAGATTCGATGACATGCATGAACCAAGTGAGCGAGCCTGACCACCCGATCCCGTTAGTCGCCTCTTACGACAAGCATTGTCGCCTTTTACTACAAGCATGGGTTGCTGAAGACCTATTCTACCCCGGATTTTCACGGTCTTTTCGGGTGTTTCCCGCCGAAATATTGCTGAACTATTGCTAAAAGCGGCGTAAAGGCTCACTCACTCACCCACCCACAAATTCATCCACCAACCAACTCCCTCACTCACACAGCGTACAAACCACAACGAGATCACCATATAGTAGATGTATTTACTTTTCATTCGTATGTTATTGCAACAAATAAATGTTTTGTTTTGCGATGGCCTTTTGCACAGTGTTAGTGTGTATCAGTTTGAATATTTAAAAACACTATTCATCTAGTCCCTGCAAACTGGTGTCGAGTGGGTTCGAGAGCTTTATAGGACTGAAAAATACCACGATTCTTCCACACGAATGTGTGATGGCAAATGATCATGATCTGACTGTCATCGTGGAGTTTGGCAAGGTTGACGGAATGCCAACTTATAATTTCAAAATAAGTTGCTCATTTGCTAATCGAATACGCAGGGTTACTTCACAATATTTTGATGATACGCACAAGTTTTATTTTTGTAGCGTATCTGTAATGTTCGTTGCGTATTTGATACGCTTGGATTATATTTTAGTGCGTATTTCCGCATTTCTGATGCGTATTTCACGCAGATACGCAGCTTATCTGGAGCTAACTCATCTCCCAACACTCACCATCCATCCATCCAGTCACTCACTCTTCCACTCACTCACTCTTCCACTCACTCTCTCACTCACTCACTCTCCCGCTCTCTCACTCTCCCACTCACTCAACATCCACCCAGTCACTCAGTCAGTCAGTCACCCACTCATCCAACTACTAACTCACTCACCATCCATCCATCCACCAATCTACTCACTCACTCACTTTCACCCACTCATCCACCTACTCACTTACTCACCATCCTTCCATCCACCCATCTACTCACTCACTCACTTTCACCCACTCATCCACCTACTTACTCACTTACCATCCATCCATCCACCCATCTACTCACCCACTCTCAATCACTCACCCACTCACCAACCTACTCACTCACTCACTCATCCACCTACT